AGCTGAGGTGGTGAGAATTTAGATGACTAACATAATCCTGGTCTTACCAGGCAGCCCACCTAATAGATGTGATAGCATTTCCCAAAGCATAGAACTGGAAGCAAGCAAGTGCAGTAGGATGGCTAAGGGGTTGTGTAGCCCCTCAGAACGCACAACTTCACTCTCTCAACTGGTGATGATAACATGGATAAATTATTTAATCAATCTGGTCCTCAGACTCCTCTTTTGTGCCAGAGGGGGAAGTCTTGCCTGTTTAGGAGATTTAAGGTGGGTAGGGGTTAGCCTTTATAGTCTTACTACACTAGCAATATACTAAAATAATTCATATCCCTATATGGCTGTTGCTGTTTATTTTCATAGTTGTAAGTAGGATTTGAGAAGGGCTTGGTTGTATAAATATTTGTCATATACATTGAAACTAATACATGGTATGTTTTGTTGCGCTGTGTAATAGCTAGAAAATTTAAAACTACAAGGAACTATGGTTCTAACAAGGACAGTGATGAATGGTGCTGAGCCCACAGGTAAATGGAACCATTTCTGTACCTGTGGTGCCCCGGAACCCAGTGCTCAGGGGTGCTCAGCCTGCCTGCTTCAACCCCAGCCTGGGTGTGCTTTGGTGAATCATGCAGCAGCAGACTGAAATGTTAAACTGTTCTTCACAGCCTGAGTTAGACCTGGGGATTAGCAGCCAGTATCCTTTCTCTAAAATACAGTGCCCCTGTTAAAGTGAGGGTAGGCTGACCACCTACCAACAACACATTTCCCCCTCAGCAGAAAGCTGTCCGAGCCCAGTATGAAAAGTAAGAAGAGGCCACTGAATTTGGACACAGCTTGCTCTGGTCCAGAGCGTTCTTCTCTGAGCACCCTGTATGTCGCTGCCCTGGGGAAGGAAGCAGCCCTTCTGCTGCTACTGGGCCACTGTCGTGGAAACAGTAAGAACCGTACAAACACGCAGTGGCCATTATGCTTAAATGTGATGAGCAGCAGCAGGAGGCAGTGCCACTCACTTAGCAACAGGACCACACCGCACCTCTCTCCTTCCCCATGTCCATTTTGTCATTCCTAAACCTGCCCGAGTACAATGCCCTAGACACCAAAAGGGAACAGGACAGCACAATGCTGGGAGTGTTGCTTTGGCAGGGTATAGAGGATGCACAGAAGTGTCCGGTACAGGGGAGGGCCACACAGTGTACAAATAGGATATAACAAGGTCAAGGCCAGCTCTAGTCAGGGCTGAGAAACAGGCCAAGAAATATATATAGTTTATATTCCTAGTCATTCCTTACCTAACACTAGGTACAAGCAGCTACTCAGAGCACTTCATTTGAAAGATTGCAGAATGTGTGAGTGAATGGATGGATGGATGGATGGATGGATGGATGGATGGATGGATGGATGGATGGATCAATAGTTGGTTCCCCTCATCTGTGGAATTTTGGCAGCTTTCTGGTAACTAGCCTTCCACTTCGTGTTTACTCTTGTGTTAGCCTGTTTTGATTTCTTGTGGCCACTTAAGGCTGTCCTCTTCACCCTTAGCTGGCTGTTTGAAGGACTGGGCAGGGACAAGGCCGAGGAGCTCCTGCAATTGCCAGACACAAAGATTGGTTCCTTCATGATCCGAGAGAGTGAAACAAAGAAAGGTGAGCCATTTTTCTTTCCGGGTGGCCACACAGCACATTATCTCTGGGGTGGCTGCCTTGCTATGGATCTGTTCTCCTCACGCATAAACAGACCCAGTTCTATGGTCAGCTCCCTGGTGGCACACCCACCATGAGAGCAGGGCATAGGGATAGGGCAGGCCACAGTTCCACCAACCGAGAACATGTGAATGGCAGACCTGGGCAGGGTGTTGACATACAGACTAGGGGCATCAGTCTGGGCCTGGCCTGTGCTCCCCAGCTCTGTTCCTGGGCCGATTGTTTACTTCTCTGAACTCCGTGCTCATCTGTGAAGTCATGGTGAGTGTCAAGCGGAGTGTACATGGTGTTCTCGCTGTGCACAGGCCCTCAGCAGCAGTTACCTCTGTGCTGGGATAAAATGGGGCATCTCAGAGAATAAGGGCAAGCAGGTGTGAGCTTGTAAACTCACAGAGATCATTATCATTCTGATTTCCTGTGTCAGTAAAAAGAGAAACAGCCAAGCCCTTGTCACGCACCAAGCAGGGGCCCAAGGGTAGTGTCAGTACTGATGTTTCTCTTTTCCCTTTTTATTTTTTTGCAATCTGAAATATTTTTTAGTTTCTTCTTCTTTGTAGATTATAATGTAATTGCATAATTTCCTCTTCCATTTTTTCCCTCCAAACCCTCACATGTATCACACCCCCATACACACTTATTCTCTTTCAAATTCATGGTCTCTTTTCTCTAATTATCATGTAGATACATATGTGTGTGCATATAAATATTCCTAAACACCTAAGTAAAACCTGCTCAGTCTGCATAATGTTACTTGTATGTATGTTTTCAAGGCTGACCATTGGGTATTGATAACCAATTGCTGTGCTTCTCCCTGGGAAGGACTATTTCCCCTTCTCACAGCACTCCTTAGTGGCCAGAGAAAAGCAAAGTTTTCAAGTTCTCAGCCTGCTTTTCACTCACAGGAGAGAATCCATGGTATCTATGAGTTTTTTTCCCCCAGGACCTATTAAGGACTAGGAGCCACTTGATGCTAGAGAATGTCACTCAGCTCTGGGGAAGCAGGGACTGTAATTTGTAACCACAGATGTCCCAGAGCAACTTTCTCTCCAAAATCTACGTATCCAAGAGCAATACAGAGACAGAAGCCATATGTAGGTCTCAGGGGTTTCCACACACAGAGCATTCAAAGCCTCCAAGGTTAACATGACCACAGGGATGGAAGACCCAGGGCATCACAGCTCACCCCCAAGTCATGCTAACCTCAGTCTTCAGGCAGACTAGCAGAGGATGGAACCAGATAGCAGACCCCTCCATTGGGTAGTCACAGTTCTGATGATTTTCTTCTTGCCAATGCAGACCTGCTTGCTACACTTCTAGTTCCTGTCAACATGGCTAGAAGTCACATAGTAGGTGATTTCAAAACCAGGACTCAAGTGGAACTAGATACACATGCTCCTCCTGGTGGTCAGGGGGCTGAGGCTGAGGCCTGCATCCAGGGATGCCATCTCCAGTGAGGTGACTCTGGACACACCACTCATGGTCCAGAGCCCCCATGTCACCCACTATACAATATTCGGGGACAGTCTTCCCAGGCCTTTACTGGCAGCACAGACTGAGTGAGGGCAGCACCTTCCCCTCTCACTGCCTCCAGAGTGAGCCACTTCAGGAAAGTCAAAGGGTGGAGTCAGGGGAGGGAGGGGCTCAAACATGACTTAAGCCCAAGGGTCTTACTTTCCACTTGGGGACACCAAGGCTACAAGAGGTGATGGTACCTGCCAGGGCGTTCTCTCTCACTGATGATGCAGAAGGAGAAACCATGTCTTTTATAAATTTCTTAATGACCCAGAACACATGCCAACTGACACTTGCTCCAACTTTCTAAGAAAATCTTGCTTAAATTAAGGAGCAGGGAGCATGAAGGGCAGAACTATGGGATCCCTTTCTTAGCATATAGTGTGGGGACATTAGGGATACAGGGGCTGAAAGGGACTAGTTAAAACATCTCAGCTCACAACTGGGAAAGACTCAAGGGCCACAGAGACTTTATCTGCTCTAATCAAACGGAGGAAATGACAGAGTTTACCTCCAAAAGGGCAAGAGGAAAGGCCACTATCCATTCCTTCAGGGCTGATCAAGTCACATGTAAAGCTCTACAATGAACTAACCTAAAAATGGGGTGAGGCTGCCAACAGGTGCCACACACAGAACTCCAAGGGGGCATCTCTTTGCCTGGATTAGGTAGGCCGTCATCTTTATGTGGGATGCTATGGCTCCCCCTGACCCCTTCTCTCTCCTTTCAGGTTTCTACTCACTGTCGGTGAGACACAGACAGGTGAAGCATTACCGTATCTTCCGCCTGCCCAACAACTGGTACTACATCTCACCAAGGCTCACCTTCCAGTGCCTAGAGGACCTGGTGACTCATTATTCTGGTAAGCAGAAGCCAGGATCAGTGGGGTGAGCCCTGTGTGCTGGTGCATGGCAGTGTTTGGTAGGTGGTGCCGGTCATTGAAAAAAGCCAGCGATTATCTCCTACGAATGCTATCTTCTTCATATGCTGGTTCATTGCCTCGGGTCAAATAAGACCATCTGTGCATGCTGCCTGGATAGCAGAATGTCCTCTCCGCATAAACAGAACACACCAGGATGCCCTGTATTCACAACCACAACCACATACGGTAGACACTTAGCCTCTCTTCCTAATGCTGGGACCCTTTAATAAAGTTCCTCATGTTGTGCTGACTCCCAACCACAAAATTATTCCATTGCTACTTCATAACTGTAGTTTTGCTACTATTATGAATCATAATGTAAATATCTGATATGCAGGATATCTGATAGGCGACCCCAAATGGGTTGCAACCCATAGATTGAGAAACACTTCGTTAAGGTGCCTCTGGAGCATTGTTCAGAAATGCTAGCCCTTTTCTCTTTGCTGCTCATCAAAACTTCTTCACCATTCAAGGCCAACCACTCCCCACTTCTCTAGGAAGCTATATCAGTATAACAATCAGCCATTTCCCAGCCCCACAGCACGCCACAATCTTTCTCTCCCTAGCCCTCCAAACAGTTAACTATGGTCTTGTCTATGTTCGCCAACAAGCACCCAGAAGAGAAATATGTCTTCTAGGCTGACTGAGATGGGGAGGATCCCCAAGATGCCAGAGCAGTGCATGGCTTACAGGAATAGAGTGCAGTCACTGAGAGCTATGAGCTAGATTGAAAAGCCCTCAATACCACCCTTGTTGTTAGGATTATGCTCTGTGGAGCAGGAGGGATTAGCACTTGGCTAGGTTTCCAAAGACAGAATCCCTGTGTTCTATATACCATGCCTGCTGGATGGCAGTTGTGCACCTGGGGCTGTGTGACTCTTCCTGTCTCACTTTCTTCCTGTGCAAAGAGGATGCTAATTGTTCCTACCTGTCACGGGCATGGTGAGAATTGCTGGAATGTGCAAAGTGCTGAACTGAGAGCCTGCACCTGGCCGTGAGCACCTACAGAATGGCAACTGCTTTCATTCAGCCCCTTCCTCCTCTGTTCCTCTGCCCAAACGGAGAAAGGAAAAAATGACTTTCTGTTTTCTTTGCTAATATCTCCTTTTTCCTGGTTCAAGATGCTTGACCATGCACTGGCAACCTTACTAGCACCCTGTAAGGTTGAAGGGCATTACAAGGAGAAAGGAGCCCATAGATGATACCTCTGACCTAAGAGAAACAGCAAATATTGAGCAATGGCTGCTGGGAGAGGCAGATGTGTGCTCCAACTAGGTTGTGAGGGATGTTGGGTAAGGCCTCGACCTCTCCCTCATTAAAGGTGGTGGGAACAGCCTCTTGCAGACTGCTAAACCCAATGACCTACGCACTGTGCCTGATAGAGTCTGACAGGTGTAACACAATTACAAGTATCACTTCTGTGATGGCTTCAAAGCTAGCAGCTAGTTAAAACTGAAAGAGGAAGGGAGTCCCAGACTTCAACTACCTCTGCCTAAAGTTTGTTTGTGGTATTTGACTCTTAATGACAATCATCTGAGGAGTGTGCTGACCAGAAATTTTGCATAGACAACAGCAAATATGAAGCTGATGCCACCCGCTAGAGCCCTTATGCCTGGGAAACAACATACTGCTGGGCGAGGCATACCTACATCCTACTCCTCCTGAGCTTCTGGACTATAGCAAGGCTGGTGCAGAACTAGTGCCTTCCTGAAATACACTCCTGACCACCATATGGTCCAAAGAGCTATAGCCAGAGGCTCACCTCTGCCCAACTGGGGAGGGCCTGGGGGTCCGAGTGCTTCCTGTATCTCCTCTCAGATCTTGGTGGGAAAGATGGGATCAAGAACAGGGTTGCTGGGACAAGGGTGAATTAGATGGTGTGTACCAGCCAACAGGCAGGACAAGGTTACCTATTTTCTATCCCAAGCCACGCACTGCTTTTGGCACGAGTCACTGGTTCCAAGTCCACAGATCAGGACTTTTGCTTACATTTCTGTGGTATTTTGTTCCATACCCCAAGTATGGGGCAGCCTACTAACTGCATGAAGTTGAGACAGAGCCTCAGTGAGATGAACGGGATGAGAGCAGCTCAGCCTTTGGCTCATGTCATTTGCCTGGGTGATTTTGTTCACTCCATATGCCACACAATGTGTGAGTAGATCTAAAGCAGAATACCCTCAGAGTCCATCTTGCCATGCAGTAGAGATGCAGTATCTGTAGGCTTCATGTCCACCTTGTGTCCTCCCTCATTGTCTGAGAGGCCTTTGAACATCTCCAGTCCCAACAGGGCACTGTTTCAGATGCATATCCAATCAAGCTTTTCCTTCCGGCACCTGTGTCTATCTGGGTGACATTTTGGATTAGCATGATATCCACCTGGAAACCAGGAGTGTGTGTGTGTGAGGGGCAGGCTGCCACTCTCTACTAGGCTGGTGTGCTTCCTCAGATGGTTTCCTTTTATATTGGGTAAGAACACCCCAGAGATTCACAGATCAGATGAAAAGAGGCCACCCGGGATGTAGGATGCTCTGGAAAGCCTCAGGATGAATGGACTGAGGCCAAAGTACTTGGGGGTCCTGCTAGAGACGTGCTGCCTGTCTGATGTCTTAGGCCTGAGTCTCTTGGGGCTGAGGGCAAGGCTGGGACCCATGTTGTGAGGAAGATGGCACTGACCCCTTAGGCCTAGGTGTCTAGGACAACAGCATCTGTATTTCTCATGATGCCGTGGGATAGAGAGGCTTGGAACTTAATGGGAGTTATTTCCTGCTGCTCCGGGAGACGTGAAGCCCTGCAGGCCAGACACTGAGCACCAGCCGAGGGGAGCAGCAGCGGGTTTGCCTCATTCTCGTTTTGTTCCTACAGAGTGTGCAGGCCCAGAAGGGTCTCCTTATTCTTGCGTTGCCCATCTGCTCTGTCGCGCCTTTTGGCTTTTGCTTTCTCCCCTCCCTTCCCATGTCTGCTTTTTCCACCTGCCTCCTCCTCCTTCGTTCCCACTCTCCTGTCCTTTTCCTTCCCTTCCTCCTCCCTTTCCTCCTTCTGTCCTTACTTCATGTGTCTCCCTGCTCTGAAAGCGTTCAGGGGTGCCTGCGCTGCACACGGCTCCACTCTCTGGCCCAGCCAGGGACAGTTCCATGAACTTCCGCCTGGTGTGAAACCTCTGCTCTCAAATAGGCTGTTTTCCTCGATCATCTCCTTCCCTCCCATCTGCAACTGGAGAGAGGGAGGCTCAGAGATGTGTGAGGTAACTCACCACTAGAGCAAAATTTGAACCCAAACCCAAGTTTGGTTGACTCTGATCCCACATTTGCTTTCTTCCCATGTCAGTATAAGCCTAGAGTTCTTATCTTTCAGGACATAGCAACATTGGCCAAAACCCCATGCCCCTTTAACATCTTGCCCTCAGTTTCCCCATGCCAGTAACCAGGCGCCTATACTGTTGTGGGTCTCTGTTTTGTTCTCCACGCTGTCTATGGCATGCCTGGATCTCTGACTGTTGTGTACTTCCATCCACAGAGGTGGCTGATGGTCTATGCTGTGTGCTCACCACACCCTGTCTGGCACAGAACACACCTGCTTCAGCGGCTCACCTATCACCTTGCACCACCGCTGGTTCACCCGTCACCTTGCGCCAGAAGACCTTTGACTGGAAGAGGGCATCCAGGTGAGTGTTTGTGTGTATGTGTGTGTGCACACGTGTGCACTGGAATGTTTGCACATATGCATGTGTGCCCTCTATGAACACATCAGAGCACCAGCTGGGGGTGAACACAACACAAGAAAATTGTGAGCAAGCTCCTGGCCCTGCCTGCACCCCCATGAGCAAAGGCAGGGAATTCTGGGAATCCAGCCTTGGGTGTCTTGGCATATGGTGTCTACAGTTTTCTGGAGCCTCAAACTTTCCCCAAGTCCATTTTCAATGTGAACACATTTTTCACAGAAACACACCACCCTGCTCTTTCTGATGATTAGAATCTAAGACAGCAACACACAAATAAACCTGATATAAATTTAATATTTAAAATCTAATTACAAAGCTTAAACGTTCCACCTAAATCTTAAGGCAACTCATTCTCTCAAAGTCAGAAAGAAAAAACAAATACTTGCATTAGTTTGTTCTATTCATCCCACTGACAGCTATTGTGTTTTCAGATGTGTGTCTGTGGGATGTTCTCATTGAGCATGAACCTAGGCATCCATCTCGTCAGTTAATTTAAAGCAAATCAGAGATCAAAATGGCCCAAGACATGAATGTAATGGTCATCTCTTGTAAATAAAGAATACTCACTAAGGTTTCTCATGGGAAGAAACAGTGGCTCCAGCATACAAATGAGAGGAACAGAATTCAAACCAGCTAGAAAAAGACTAACCTTCTCCCCTCTTCCTCTCCTTCTTCCTCCTCCTCATCCCTTTCTCCTCCTCTTCCTTCTCCTCTTTCTCCGATTCCCTTTTCCCCTTCTCCCTTTTCACATTCTTTGTCCCCATCACTCACTCTGTCTAACATCCCTCTTTTTTCACTCAGATTGCAGGGAGATCCAGAGGGGGCAGAGAACCCACTCAGGGTGGATGAATCCCTTTTCAGCTATGGTCTCCGGGAAAGCATTGCGTCTTACCTGTCCTTGACAGGGGATGACACCAGCTCCTTCGACCGGAAGAAGAAGAGTCTCTCCCTAATCTACAATGGCAGCAAACGCAAGAGCTCCTTCTTTTCAGAGCCCCAGTACTTTGAAGATTAATGCCCTGGCTGGTACACAAAAGACATGTTTTGGTGGCCACCTGGGGTCTAGTGGAAGCCGGAGTTCTCTCCTCCTGGTCATCTTGTGTCTTCAAGGAACCAAGAGAAGTCACATGGAGACTGCCTTTACATAGAGATCAGAGGAACTTCTCCTTGGTGTCTGATCAGTATTGTAGAGCTTCATCATGTTTGAATCATGATGTAATGGGGCAGTACTTCAAAGAGCTGTGTGTTATGAGTGTGTGTGTAGGACAGAACACTCCTAAAAGAGAGTGTATGGAGACTGACTCCAGCTCACAGTCCAAATGGCCCTTCTCTGAGACCCTGTGGATAACATCCATCTGAGAAAGACAGCTTCTTAGGTCTGCAGAATGACTCTACCTGGAGCAGAGCAACCTTTAAAGGCCCAGTGAGACCTATGAGCTATGTCTCCTCTCTTCCTAAAGGACCTGTGACATTAAACACTACCCAAAAGGACTTACAGCTCTGATCCAAGTGGCACCTTCTGCACTCAGGTGCTTCAAAGCCACATGGACAGCAGTAGATGGCTATGCTAAGTTGTGGGAGAGTGTTGGTCAGTGGAAGGGCAATCAGGAGAGGCAGGAGGCAGCTCTACTGTGCAAACTTCTGAGATAGACAGTCTTGCCTCCTCACAGAAAAGGCATTCTCCAGCTCCTGGGGTCCTGTGTTATTCTAGAACCCCCATTTCTCATGCCTATTGGCAAAGGCCGCTGTGCTGAGGTCGAATGAGAACAAAAGAAGCATGAATAGCATCCCTTAATGCTGGGCTTCCAGCAGGGTCGGAGAGACAAGCAGATCAGCAGAATATAACAGTGGATGTGAAACAGGACGAAGTCTCACAGCTACAATGGACTGGAGACAAGTGAGGGTACCCAAGGGATCTTGTTCCCATGGATCTGTCAGGAATGCAAAGGCTGTTGGACTAAGTAGACTAGTACGGTTAGATTTTTTTTTTAAGGGGAGTGATGGGCTTTAAAGAATTAATTTATCCTGTACATTTCACTCTGAGAAGGGTAGCATCTGCATGTAATAAGAATGTCCCTTTCTGGAAAAGGGGGGGAGGGGCTGGAGAAGCTGAATGCTGCCATATGTGATTGTGAGTGGTGAGAGAAAACTCACAAGGCATTCAGAAAAGAGAAGCCTCCAGCCAGTCTCATGGCTACATGTTGCTGGGGTGGGAGGCAGGATTGCCATGGCTCATTCCTCCCTGTTCATCAAAGGGATTCTCAGTAAGAGAAGAACAGGTGGGCTTTGTCACCCATCCTGTGCAGTCCATATATCTGGGCTCATTCTGCAAATGGCAAAAGCATATTCATTGGCATGACTTCATTTATTGTCATGTCCAGTGTGTTACATCAAGAGACATGCATGGTCTCCCAGGTCTCTCCCAAAGGCCATTTCAAAGAGACTGGCCAGAGTGTGAGAAAAAAAATGCCACACCTGGTCAGTGACTTCTGCTATGAGGCCATGATCTCTGGCTCCTGATATGTCTGCTATCTTCTGTGCTGTTTTCTGTTGTGGTCAATGTGATCAGAACTTTGGGTAGCACTTGGGGGTATTTCTAAGTGGGAAGCATTACACTTTGCCCAATCATGTATTTATTCCTGATTAAAGTAAAGCATACTTATTTAACCTTGGATGAAGGACCTGTGGGTTGAGAAGCGTGACTATGCCTCTCTGGAGTTTACAGATTTTGCTTTTCAAAGAAGAGTTCAACTGGAAGGACGGGCAGAAAGGCCAGCAAGAGATACTTGTTGGAGGTTCCCTTCTCACTTCATGTGAGTGGACACAGGAGTGCTCAAGAGGGAGAGATTCCTTGAATTCACCATGATAACTATCTTTACGTTATTTGTGGTGCTTGGGCTACTCTCTTCTGAGAATTTCTTTCCACAAATGTCATCTGGACACCTGTTCAACCTAACTGCTGAGGCTTGTGGCCATGGAGGTCTCTGATGTCAGATGCCACTAACAAAGGAGACACTTTCTGAGGAAGGTGTGGTGGGGATATGCCAAACATAGCAGCGTCCATGCAGTCATGACTCTTTATATGGATGCTGAGGTAAGAGCAATAGATAGCTGCATAGTCCAGGGAACAGACCACCAGGGAAGGTCCTGCAGACTTGAGCAAGTGTGCAGCTTAAAGGCTTAAAGAGACCAAAGGGCTACATGGCTGAGCCTGAGGGGCAGTGGCAATAGAAACATCATCCAGAGTGGGGAGTTTGCAGGCCCTGAACAGACAGAGCTTAGCCTGCGTATGGGAGGAAAGCAGAGCTGAGAAGAGTGATAATTGCTCACTAGGTCCTTTGAAAGATCAACTGGATGCTGGATGGAGGGTGAAATGTTGGAAGTTCCAGCATCATACTGCCTATGAGACATACAGTTCTAAGAGTACATAGTCTAAAAATAAAGAAGGCATCCAAGAAAGGGTAGACTCCATCAAGTCCCAGGCCCACATTCTACTTTGAAAGGAGGTTGCGGAAGTCTGGAAGTGATTTCGTTGGAGGAATGCGCAGGTATATTTATGAGACATTTTCTATCATAGGGCTCAGGTGATCCCTTTGCATGTGTGCAAGTCCCCCCCCCCCCATGGAGAGAAATGAACACAAGGAAAACTTTTGCTACACGCTGAAGCAAATTGAACTGTAAGATGAGAATTGATTACATAATACTACTTACAGGAAAAGCAGTCCAGGGAGAAAGCAGATGGCTTACACCCTGAAAATGATACTGTTTTTACAACATATTAAACAACCATTAAAGGGGCACTGGAAGCGGCTGTGCCAGAAGATGAGAAAAATTCCATGAATCTAAATTCTTAAAGAATTCTTTAGTAAAGGGGGAAACTGGGCACAAAAGGAAGCACTTAGAGAAAAATGGCATTTTCTATTTTTCAAAAATTTCAAGGTGCCACTGATAAAACAGCAAGAGAGGATTTTTATCACTTCAAGTACAGTGTGTCTCAGGGAATAAAGACTGAGAAGCAATGGACTCAGCTTCCGACTGGAGAGCTCAGAGAAGGTGACACAGTCCACGTGGGGGAGGGGGGGCGGGGGGGGGGGGGAATTAAAGCAAAGGGCAGATGCCAGGAATTTACTTTTTTTTTTTTTTTTTTTTTTTTGGTTTTTTCGAGACAGGGTTTCTCTGTGTAGCTTTGCGCCTTTCCTGGAACTCACTTGGTAGCCCAGGCTGGCCTCGAACTCACAGAGATCCGCCTGGCTCTGCCTCCCAAGTGCTGGGATTAAAGGCGTGCGCCACCACCGCCCGGCCAGGAATTTACTTTTTAAAACAGATACAAGGTGGATTTTTTTTCAAGACAGGGTTTTTCCGTATAACAGCCCTGGCTGTCCTGGAACTCACTTTGTAGACCAGGCTGGCCTCATACTCACTGAGATCCACCTGCCTCTGTCTCCCAAGTGCTGGGATTAAGGCATTCACTACCACTGCCTGGCTCACCAGGCAGATTTTACAGTGAAATTTAATATGCTACATGTAATGAGTGAGATGAATATTCAAAGTCAACACAATCAAGAAAGACGGATGATAAACACAAGTGCAGTGAGTCTTGAGAGTAAGAAAAGATCTGCTGAGGAACTTCATCACAAGCTATGGACCAAAGAGTCCTCCCTCCCTCCCTCCTTCTCCAATTCTCTGATAGCTACATTCTTCCACTGCTTAGATTCAGCCCTGCCAATGAGGATTAGGCCATTGGGATGGCAGAGAAGCCTCCATAAGAAACTAGTGTTTTGAATATCAAAGAGATGTTTCTTAGTGAGGGTTTTAATTTATGTGAAGAGACACCATGCCTACAGTAACTCTTATAAAGGATAGCATTTAATTGAGCTGGCCTACAGTTCAGAGGTTTAGCCCATTATCAGCATGACAGGAAGTATGGTGGCATGCAGGCAGACACGGTGCCAGAGAGGAGTTGAGAGTTCTGCATCTGGATTGGCAGGCAGCAGGAAGAAAGAATGAGACACTGAGCCTGGCTTGAGCTTCTGAAACCCTAAAGCCTACCTCCAGTCACACACTTTCTCCAATAAGGCCACACCTCCTAATCCTTTCAAATAATGCCATTTCCCATAAGCCTATGGGGGCCATTTTAATTCAAATTACTACAGCTACCCAGCTTCTTATCTTACAAAGTGAAAAAGAAAGGAAGGAAGGAAGGAAGGAAGGAAGGAAGGAAGGAAGGAAGAAAGAAAGAAAGAAAGAAAGAAAGAAAGAAAGAAAGAAGGAAAGAAAGAAAAGGGAAGAGGCTCTGTCCTCTGAGCTGCTTTGGTGTTGGGTCTCTGTATCTCTCCATCTGAGACTCTGCTCCAACAGTACAGAAATAAGCTAGATACTCATTATCCACAGACTATGGGGAACTTCATAGAAAATTCAATGTACCCAGCAGGCAAGGGCTAGGGGTATTTCTGAGTCAGCTTGTTGCTGAACATATTATTAACCATAATCATGCAAATTTATCCCTAAAATCAATAGATTAAATTCTATGAAATTATACTCAAATTCCCAGGAGAATTATTAGACTAAAATGAACATCAATAAAATCATTCTGAAGTCCATACAGAAACATCTGTTCTCAAGACTAGTCAGACCAATTTAGAGGAGACTAGCTAGAGGAGAACACTCCTACTATGTGACAGTCATCAGCTACAGGCAACAGTCTGTGAGACCATGTCACCATCCTCTTACCATGCCCTGGGTGTTGGTTGTGTCCTACAAGTCAGGGGCGATGCTATCTGTCAAGAACCTGGTAAGATAATTAAACTCCCGAAAGAAGTGATGTACTTAGCCATGACAGAACTAGAATGACACTTGTTGGGAAAAATAGCAATGGAAAAATCAAACAGGATGCTAGAAAGATAGCTCAGTGGTTAAGAGCACTGGCTGCTCTTCCAGAGATTCTAGCACTTGTACAATGGATCACAGTTACCTGAAACTCCAGTTCTAGGGGATACTACACCCTCTTCCGACTTCTGCAGGCACCAGGCACATCGGTGCACAGAGATTCACACAGGCAAAATATCCATACACATAAAACAATTAAAAAATTTAGGCGGAATTCCTCAAAGCTGATAACTAGGAATCTTGTTGCTGATGGAAAGTTCCCTCTACTCTGGGGGATAAGGAAGGCTTGGGACCTCAGGGAAAGAGATTTCCAGTGATGTAACACACACTGTCCACTGAGCAGAGACAGAAAGGCCAGCAGGGGTGTGTGATCTTTTGACATTGGTCCATAATGTCAACTACAAAAGCATTGGGTCACCTCCATAGCTATTATGGGACACATGTGGCCTACAGACTTTGAGGTTTTGACATACCAGGCCACTTTCTAGGATCTGTGATGGCCATGGTCACGTGGGAATGGAGCAGGGAAAGGTGCAGATTCAGCTGGATTCAGGAGGCTGGAGATGGCCAGGAAAGCAACAGTCCTGGGTAAATGTTGGAGGCACTGGGGGAAGTTTTCCTATTGTCAAGCACAGAGCCTCTTCTCCCTCCCTGGAAACCTGGCCTAGAATCCAGCTCTGTGGGATGTGTGGCTGGATCAAGCTTTCTTCTCTAACCTAGCTCCAGGCAAGTAAGCTGTCCTGGGGCTTTTGTGGGTGGAGGTGGCTTCCCTTGGACTGGGAAGGAGGAGTAAGGGGCTTAAATTTCTTGAGTGGCCAGGGATTTTGATGCCTTATGCCCCATAGTTTCTCACAATGTTGAGCAATAGAATTAAACATACTGATTTTACAGGTAAAAATATAAGGTGAAGGGTTTTGTCTAAAGTTCATAATTCAGGCCTACCTGCCTAGTTGGACCACTTTCTAGTACATCTTTAAACGCAGAGAAAATCCCAGGTTACCAGGGGAGCAGCCTCATAATGTGGGAAAACAGATGATTTAGTTTTAGGTCTTGATCCGTCATGAAGTTCCTTCTTTGGTATGTGTTCTTTGGTAAGTCACTGAAATTCTCTAAGAGATAAGATTTCTTATCTCTAGCTAGAAAATAAAATAAAGACCCTGTGCCAGCCAGTGGAAGGAATCTGAGATAAGATAGTGAGGTTTTTTTTTTTTTTTGCCAAGTACAGTACACTAAATATAGATTATTAATTATCACCACAGCGGCTTCTCTTGATGGATGTTTAAACAGTCCCAAACCCAAGATTTGCAGAGCGCTGTTAGATCTTAGTCAGGAATAAACTGGCAGCTCCCACTCCTTGCCCAAACATCTGTTGGTAAAGAACACTTTAAGAGCTGCTAAGGCATTGAAGCAGTTCTGTTTGCTCAGTTCCAAATAAGCTCACACGATCCCAAGGACTTCTGGGAGTGGTTGTAAAAGCTGTTTCCAAATGCATAAAACAGACGGAGGGGTTATTTTTAAATGCGCTGCCATTTGTTTCTGAAATTCCCCAGACACTTTAAACTCCACAAAAAAAAAAAAAAAAAAAAAAAAAAGAAAAAGAAAGAAAGAAAGAAAAAAAAAAAAAAAAAAAAAAAAAAAAAGGCTGCCTTCTGGGCCCTGTGAAGGCATTTGAGCACCTCTAAGGTCCTGACAAGGCCTAGGTGACACAGGGCGCTGGAGGACCCCACCACCCACAAGGTCAATCTACAGCACAAAAGACCTGAGTTGAATACCAGGAATTA